ACCCCCCCCCCCCCCGCCGCCCTCCTCCCCGAGGAGGGGGGAGGGGAGCGTGAGAGCGGCGCCGCCCGATTGGGCCAGCAGCAAGGAGGCGGGCGGAGCATAGCTAAGGCTTTGATTGGTTGTCCCGGCACAGAGGCGGGGAAGAGAGCGCGGGGATTGGAGGTGGAAGCTGTCGGTTCGAGCAAGGCCCGCCTCCTGGCTGAGGGGGTGGGCGGGAAGCGGGGGGCTCTGCGGTGGCCCCGCTGTCGCCTCAATGGGGAAGGTGGCGAAAGCGCGGCCTGCTTAGGCCTCTGGCTGCCGGGCACGGGGGTCCCTCGGGCCTTCCCGCCCCCCGGGGTGTCTTGTAGCCCCTCCTCAGGCCGAGCGGCCCCGAGCTGGCACTAGAGTGTGTGGGGCTGGCTGAGGGGATGACAGGCCTCGGTCCCTGGGGCCTGCAGTCGAGTTGTCCCTGCCTGAGGTGATGGGAGAGGCGGCTCTGACAGACGTGTGTCCTCTTCAGCAGTGCCCCATGGCAGCCAGGACCCCTTACCCTGCCCTTGTCCCAGTGCCTTCTACTCAAGTGGTTCCCCGGGTGACATCCCTTCGACAGGTATGTCCCACGTGCTGCAGGCACGTTGCTCTTTAGTGGTGTGGCCACCCTGTCCTCAAGTCTGTGCCTCCAGGTGCCACACAGCGGGCCGTGGGTCAGGCTGACCAGCAGTGCTTGGGCTGGCTGGCCTGCAGTGGGAGGGAGGCCCTGGCACCGTACACCCCCGCGGGCAGCACGAGGCAGGGCCGGGAGCTGGAGTCTCACCCTTCATGTGTGAGATGTGGCAACCAGTTAGTTAACACATCTCTTCATCAAAATGGCTCCCTGTTATTAGGTGCTGCTGCCGTGTCCTGTGCCGTGGCTGGGATCCCTGGTTAGGCAGGATTCCATCGTTTAAGGGCAAGCAGAACAAAATGTCTCTCCTTGTCCTGGAGGAGTCTGCAATCATCAACATGATTTGCCTATTTTTTAAAGTTTGGGATGTGCCTAAGAGTCCCTGTGGCAGAGAAGTTGAGGCTTATACGGGAGGGACTTTTCCCAAGGCTGATTTGCATGTCTGGCAAAGCTTGGATGAAAGCCTGGGAGTCCTTACTCTCTTTGCCAGGCTTTGATGCCCAGACTCCTTGCCTTTAATCTTCGCCATCTATGCAGACAATATCAGAGCTATCAAATAATTCTACCACAATGTGAGTCTTTAAAAAAATATTCTGCTGGGAAAGTACACAACAAGGTATTTGGATAAAAGTTAAAAACTGGATTAAGCCCAATGAGTTGTTATGATTCTTGCCTACCAGCTTAAGCAGATACACAGACTTTGGGTTGGGAAAAGATTTCATATTTGTACAGTGAAACCAATGCAGGAGAGATCGGTCTCCCCATACAGCAGGGTTTGTGGGGGCTACTTCTAAAGGCAGAGCTTGAATTGTTCCATCAGTTGATATCTGGTGTTTTCAAGGCTTTGAGACATTGCCAGAGATTAGCTGAGTTTTCTTCTTTCTGTTTCTCAGTTCACTGGGAAGAGCTCAGCCTGCTAAATATTTAATATTTGCCAAGCTGGGATGCTTGAGTGCTGGAAGCATCTGAAGAATCCAGCCCAGTCCCTCACACTTCTCATTCCCTGAGCGTGCCGCTGACAGACGTGTCGATCTTTCGCTTCCATCACTAGGTAAAGGACAAATGATCTTTCTGTTTGTGGTGTGGGAGGAGGCCGTGTGTTATCTGGTATGATTCACTCTGATAAATAACCTCCTCGGAGGACTTCTCTTGTTTATAGCAACAGCCTCAAATGCTAAGGTTTACAGAGATTGTAATCCTCACTGTTCTCACGCATGTTTACTCTGCAGTTTTATCAGAAACATCTCTTGAAAACCTCAGTGTTTTTATAATTAATTGAATAATGTGACTGATGTTAAAAATAAACGGATTTGGAAAAATGCCCAGTGAACTGCTGAACAGTGTGTAATATAGCAACCGTAGCTGGATTCTCAGGGGTATGTATATTTTCCTAACAAACGCAGTCTCATGACTTAGAGATTAAATCTTTATTAGTGCGAAATTCACCCTGTTGATTTTTCTGTGTTTGTGCTGCATAATTATTTCTGGGGAAATTCACGTTTTTTAAAGGGACGGTGCTCCTCCGCACACGTGCCCTGCTGGGAAAGGTCTCAGTGTGGGTGAGTCTGAGCCCCACGGAGGCACCGCAGAGGGGATGTTGCCGAAGGGTATTTCCACCCCTCCACCATCCCGCTGGCTTTATTTCCCCATCCAGGTCCAATCCATTCACAAAGGGGCTGTGTGTGTGAACGGGGTGCTCTGATATATATTGATTCTGCTTTCCCAACACTGAAATGCTCTTGATTTCTCTTTTTTGACTTCATCCCTGCCATGCCCACCTCACCTCTGCTCCATGAGCCTCGGCCACGTCCCTGCCCCATGCTCTCCCTGACCTAAGCCTCTCCTGACGCCGCTCCCTCGGTGCCGCCACCACTTCCTCAACTTTTGCTGTCTCAGGGCATCATCTTATCAGTCTGGGATAATTTATGAGTTTGGGCTCTGCAGTTAAGTCTGGGCCTCACCTCTGCTGTCACCCGAGGTGTGTCCTGCAGGCCAGGGGCTGGGATCTCTCCGCTCTGCTCGCCTCGGGACTGTGAGTGAGCAGGGAAAGAGATGGCTTTTCTCGCCTTCTCCCTCCCCACTTCCAGGACTGAGATAAAGCAGCAGGATAAAAACAAGGCAAGATAAATTCAGAAGGGATAAAACTTAGCGAGGTGAAGTGAGATGCATCTGTAAGGTGTTTGGTGAGCCATCAAATCCTGTCTCTTATCCCAGAAGAATCCCAGATACATAAAGCCCTGTAAACTACATCATCAGCGCCTTCCTCTGGAAAACATCATCACGCTGATCCATTTGTTCTAGCAGCCAAATGATTAAAGTTTGAAAACTAAATTACACGCGTTGCTGCAACAGCATGAACACAGTAATGGCCCTCCTCTGTTACACCTGTAACCTCTGTTATAATACCTTTAATGAGCTTTCAGCCTCATCATCCAAGAAGAAAAGATCATTGCACCACACTTTATGCTGTAAAGGTGTTCTTTGTGCCGCTGGTGGCCAGGCACCCCCTCTGAGGGGCTTCACGAGAGCCTTCCCCAGAGCTGGGGGGCAGACCCAGGCTGGGGAGCTCCCCAAATGGGGCAGGGGGAGCAGCCCCTGCCTGGGGCAGGACACGGCAGCGGCATGAGCCCCTTCTGCAGCGTGCAGGCTGCTGGAACCCCTGTGAGGGGAATGGGTACCTGTTCCCATTCCATAGGATTATCCTATGGAGTTATTCCAAGCTTGTGTCTTCTCAGCTTAATTTAATAACAGGCTGCGAGCTCTACTTTGATCTGCTTGTGTTTTTCACTAGTTCCATCATCACAAAGGCCAGAACTGTTTCACTTTCTGTGCCAGGCTGGGTTTCCTGTTGGATGTGTGAAGGACGCATCTGCCCGGTGGGTTTCTGGCCTGCCAGGACGGGGGATCCTGTTATCGGCAGAGACAAAGGGAGCACAGGAATCTGGAGTTGGTGGATTCCTTTCCCCAAACATGTGGCCAGACCTGAAAATCCAGCTGCCTGGCTTTTTTTTTGTTTACTGGTTTCCATATCTCCTCTAGTGTGTCCTGGGAATGTGCAGGAGGACTCTTCGCTGCTTCTTTCCGGGGGGCCTATGGGTGGAACAGGAGCTGGTTTGCCCCTTCCCAAATCTGCCGACTGGAACCCGCTTTGCCTCCAGGCTTGTTGTGTTTATTAAGTGTTCTCCTGTGTCTGTATCCCAGCTGTTGCCTTCAGCGCTCTGCTGGACAAGAGACCTGCTGGCGTGGGCTCTCCCACTGGTTCCAGTCCCACAAATGCCGCTGTTACCCCAAAACTGTAAGTCTGTGGTTCCCACTTGACACGGCAACCTCTAATTTGAGATCCAAGGTGGCAGAAGTAACAGAAACTGTCCCTGCTGGAGTTGGGCTTCTCCCTTTGCTTCATTACCTCATGGGGCTGAGACCCCAGGGCTGGTGAGCCCAGTTTGCAGGTGATATGGACTTTGTTTCCGCTCTGCAAAATGCAGCCTGGAAGCTGTGTCAATCATTTGTGTGAGGCTTTCAAGAAAGACAAAGAATCTTAAATGCTTCAATTTTCGTACTTAGCAGGCCACGCTTGTGCTGACAGTACCTGCTGGCAATAACCTCGCGGATGGCAACAGGGGAAAAAACCACACAAAACCCCAGAAGAGTGCTGTGTCAAAACAGGCTTGACAAACTTTAAAAACATGCCGGAGGAGGCAAAGGTAATTTAGGTGAGGATGCAGATGATATCATTCCATCTCTCGGCGGGGATCTGCTCCCAGAACTGCGATGTAGCTATGGCAGCACGTGTACTCATGGGATACTGACATGTTTATGTGTTTTTTAAAAATCTTAAAACCTGCCCCTTTACCTACAATTAAAGAATTTATGGGTTTTTTTTTTTATTATTATTATTTTGTGCTGCCTGATCGATTCTGCAGTAAACTCACCCCAAAGAGAGTGGTGACAAGAGAGCTCCTGACATCTCCGTGTTCTCTCCCTGTGTTTGGAGGAAGCAGAGGGACCCTGTTTGTGTTCCCAGGCATCTGAGCTTTCCTCAGGCTACAGGCATTCCTCATCCCTGAGCTGTGCCCATTGAATTTCTTCCTCTCTGGGCCTCTCAGTCCTGAGAGGAGTCATCAGTGAGAGGAGCAAGGAGGATCACAGAAGGTCTGGATAACGAGGGTCAGGTCTGGGACCATCCTGGCAGGGCAGGACGCTGGGCAGCACTTTGCCGTGGCTCAGGGTGCCTGTGCCTTGCCCCGTTGCACAGTGCCACCTCCTGGAAAGCCGTGCCTGAGCTGCACACATCAAACAGCAGTTTTGCTCCTGAAGCAGCCAGTGGTGCCTCTAATTGCTGCAAAGTTCATCTTCTGACCCACCAAGAGCCCTCCACCAAACTTCTCCTCCTCCAGCAGGTATGAAAGATGCCACTCGGTGCCCGGCTGCTTGCCCTCACCCCACCACCCTGTGGCAGAACATCCCCACATGGCTCTTTCCTGCTCCGGATGCTGAATATAAATCTCCAGCTACAAAAAGAACAGTAGAGGAACACAAATGAACATCTTTTGGTGTTAGTTCTCAGCTTCTGTTCTCTTTGGGCACCAGTTCCCTGTTCAGCTGAATACCCCGCGTATATATTCACCCTTTAAGTGCCCTGTTTACCTCTTCCTCCTGGTTTTGACTTTAAGGGACATTTTTCTCTCTCCCTCCCCAAGTTTGATGACCTCGTTATGAGCAACAACCAAGCCCCTCATCACGGTGCTCACCCTGTATTTAAAATATTGCTACATCTTTTTAATGAGACAAAAAATGTGTACGCGGAACTTGCACCTGAATGCTGCTGGCTTGACTAAGCTCTATATTTATCCTGAAAAGACAAGAAAAATAGGTGGTTCCAAGAGCAACACATTTACTCCTACGGAACAGTAACACAGCTTATGTGCTTAGTCACTGAAAAAATGTACACTGCAATTTAAAGCCAAAGGCTGGTACTTCATCCATCATTTTAGGCTATTGTGGCATCTTCTGAGCAGTTGGGAGATTAATGTACTCTGGTAATCTGTCATACACAGTGAAATACCTAGTGCTGCAAGGTAAGGCTCTAAAAGCTGTTATTTGAAAAAAAACCCACCAACAAACAACAGTAATTATGTAAATACAAGGCCACAAAGTTCACAAAAAAGAAAAGGCTACTGTGGCACGTGGCTGTCCACGGCTTTCATTGGATTCTGTGTGGCAAACTTATAAACTTTTTCCCGGGAGAATGCTGAGGAATTCAAACAGCCTGTTTACCAAAAAAAAAACCGCCTTTTTTTTAATTAAAATTCATATTTGTAAAGGAGAGATCATTACAGAAATGAGGTAAACCAACACATACGACATAGTTTTCACTTTAAAAATAAATGTCAATTGAGCAATTGATTTGACTCCATGAAGTCCAAGAGGAAGAGTCTGGTGAATGTTACTCACCCGGACGAGGTGGGAAGATGCAGCCGATGCCGCCCTGACTCAGCGCAGAGATGTCAGTGCCAAAGGGTCAGGAGTCTGCCAGGGACCAACCCCTTCTCACCACGCTGTCCTCTTCTCCCCCGTCAGACGTGGAGACGAGAGGAGATGAGTAAAGGCCAGAAACGGGCAGCGGTGGCCTCTTCACCCACGGCTTTAACCAGGGGTCCCCCACCAGTGTCCCCCCCCCCGTAAAAGGCTGTGTAAAGGTTTAATTTGATTGTGCAAATTCACTCCCTCATCAGTCGTTGCTCACCACTTCTCAGCCATAATGGAGACTTAACAGCAAGCAAATACCAGCTCTGAAAAAGTTCCATTTCAAAACAATATCTGGCAAGCAACAAGCCCGTTAAATGTGACACATTTCAAGGTACAAAGAGAAGAGTTTACGCTTCCTTCTATTTTTTTTTTTTTTGGGAAGTTTGCTTCCATACATGTACAAGCAGAGCTTTTCATCTAAATGTTTATGAAGTTACTGCAAGTCCAAGAGTTATGCTTCCTTCTATTTTTTTTTTGGGGAAGTTTGCTTCCATACATGTACAAGCAGAGCTTTTCATCTAAATGTTTATGAAGTTACTGCAAGTCTGTGAGAATCACATTCGTCACCCTGTGAAATGCAGTTTTCTCATCGAGGACCAAGCCCCACGGCCCGAGCACCTCAAAGAGGAGGAAAGTGGCTGCGATGTTGTTTTACCTGGTAGAATGGGAAGGAAATAGTGTGGTGAACCTCAGCCCCGGTCCTCAGAACACTGCTGGGAGCCAGCCAGCTTGCTTCCAGTCCTAACCAGTACAGACCAAAGACCACCATCACCAGCAGAACCAAATAACACTCCAAAAATTCCCTCCATTAAACCAGTGGCTAACAAACTCCTAAAAGTAGGCTGTTGGCAATTACTGTGTGGCTGAAGCTCTGCAGTCCAGGTCCATTTTGATGGATGAAGGTATCGTAGAGGTGACAAACTACGCAGATGAGACAGAGATGGAGTTTCACCTGTTACACCCACCTGCGTGAAACTCATCCAGGCCCTTGTGGATTAATTATGCTGAGACAGGCAACGCGTTGCTTCCGATACGTATCCCAGCACCGTCTCTGGTAACCAAGACATGAATTTTTCATCACATCTGCCAAGTTTACAGTGAAATTTCACAACCGCGAGCAGATAGAACATGAGGTGAATGCACTATTTGAATCCCATTTTTATCCTCAGGGCACGTGGGTGGGATTTAAACTGTACGTAGGCTCGGTGTTGGTCTGAAAGTGCTGGATGTCACACTGCAAGAGCAGGATCCATAACTCTCGGTGCAGAGAGAAGGTTGTACCACATCTGCACCCCGTTTCCAGTAAATGCTTTCAGCAAGAGACAGAAGTGCCTTCACTACCGTTTATGATAACTGTACCTTGGCAGCTGCAGGGCTGTGATATCGCAACAAGATTCTCCAGGTTAGGAGTCAGTTAAAGGCTCTAGATCTTGAGAGAGAGAAAGAGAGTGGTGTCATACTTCAGAGAGTTTTTTCCAAACAGAAATAAAAAAATAACTGTCTTTTTTAAATAAATCTATTGTTTGAGGAACTAAAGCAACCAGTGTTAAGTTCCTGGTTTATTACACATCCTGCTCCTGCTCTGTATGACGAGTCTGAATAGGCAGATTAGCATGAGATTAGCAGAAAAAGCTCTTTAGGCTCAGCAAGACTCCAAGGCGAGCCATTTCACATTGACAGGAGCTACCACCCCTCCCTCCCTGCGTCCACTGGCACCACGGGCAGATTTTTCCCCCAAGAAAGACGTCCCACCGCTGTTTCTTTCACTGGATCATGCCATCTTGCTGCCCCGTCTGGCTGGGGTCAGCGGTGACTGACGGGCTGGGTGTATTGCTCTGCAAAAATCGACGGAAGTCCTTAATCATGGGGCGGAGGACCTGGATGAGGGCACTCAGTGCCGCCTGGGTTCCTTCCATGGCTTGTGCCTGTCGCTCCTGGGCGCACGCCTGCACCTCCTGAGAGCGCCGAATCATCTGCAGCAAGTCGTTCTGCTGCTCCAGGTGCTGGGCGATCTCCTTCACGTGCAAGTTGGTCACTCGCTGCTCCTGCAAGAGCTTGGCCGAGTTGAGGGCAATTCGGCTTTTCAGCTCCTGGGGTTTCGCGGACACTTCGTGTTGATGAGCCATCATCTCCAAGGGCGCTTCGGCCGTGACCGTGGTGGGGGCTTCGGTTGTGCAGTACTCCACCACCCCGTCCTCCAGACTGTGGTAGGTTGTCTCTGCAGGAACTGAGAACAAAGGAGAGAAAGGGGGTAAGAAGTAGCTGCGATACGGGGGGGATTTTTATCTCCAGGTCTATTGAATGAGTATCACAGGAATAGCGCCTGTTGGGTGAGATAACATACAACGAGCAGCAATGCACAAAATGAGCTATTTAAGTCTACTCCACCCTCATCTCAGCTTCCGTCAAGGCTGTACAGTCCAAAGCAATGGGCCATGCCTTATCTGTCTAGACAAAATCCTTTCTCAACCTCCAGTTCAGAACAACCTTTCCAAGGGCAATTACCCGACTGACAGAAGGGCCAAGACAAGGCCCAGAATGGCGCTTGTCAGAGGACTGCTGCTCTTCAGGGCAGACTGGGAATTCAACCTCAGAGACTTTTCATGGAATCACGGAATTGTTGGAGTTGGAAGGGACCTTCTAGAGATCATCCAGTCCAACTCCCCTGCCAAAGCAGGGTTGCCCAGAGCACATCACTCAGGAGCACCCAGGTGGGGCTTGAAGATCTCCAGAGAAGGAACTCTACACCCTCCCTGGGCAGCCTCTGCCAGGGCTCTGCCACCCTCACCCCAAAGAAGTTCTTCCTTATATTTGAGTGGAACTTCCCATGGTCCAGCTTCTGCCTGTTGCCCCTCGTCCTGTCACTGGGAACCACTGAAAGGAGTCTGGCTCCCTCCTCCTTCAACCCACCCTTCAGATACTTGTCAGCATTGATAAGGTCTCCCCTCAGCCTTCTCTTCTCCAGGTTCAAGAGTCCCAGCTCTCTCAGCCTTTCCTCCTCAGGGAGATGCTCCAATCCCTCCAGCATCTTTGTTGCCCTACGCTGGACTCTCTCCAGCAGTTCCCTGTCGTTTCTCCCCCTCCTTTTGTTCCCAGAGACAGGGACTGAACAATCTGCAAGACGCAAAGGATACCAGCGTCCCTTGTTCTTAAGGACCGGCCATCAAAGCTGACTTTAAGTAGTGCGTATCTTGCAGCCACTCCCCCACAGCATGAGGACATTCTGGGAACAGCATTTTAATTACAGAGACTCGGGGCTGAGGGGGTGGGTGTCTTTTTGCTGGGGCTTTCCCCGCACAGGCCTCAGGGGTGGGCGTCAGGACCCCGCTATGACCTTCCAAACTCGGCCCGGGGGCCTAACTTCAGCGGGTGCAGCACTCACTCTGGGTCAGGGTGACGGTGGTGGCCGAGGCGGTGATGGGTATCTCGGTCCCGTCCCCCCCGCTGCAGTCCCCACTCGGCAAACTGATGATGGTGGCTTCTCCCAGCAGGTTGCAGATGCGCTGCTGCATGGGGGTGAGGATAACGGGGGCGGCGGCGGCGCCCGTGGGGTCTTCGCTCTCCGGCCCGTTGCCGTTGCCGTTCTGACTCTCGCCTCCTCCTTCCATGGCAGCCCGGACTTGGGCTACTTTCCGCCGCACCTCGGTCTTGAGGTCGGACCATTTCTTCTTGACCTCGGGCAGCTCGCGGTGGCAGGTGGCCACGGCGTTGACGCGGCGCAGGATGTCGTGCCAGGCGGCGGCCTTGGCGGCCAGGGGCACGCCGGCGTTGAAGTGGTTGATGAGGAGGTGCTTGCCTCGCTCCAGCTCCTCCACGATGATCTCCACCTCCCGCTCCGAGAAGTTCATCTTCCTCTTCTTGGCTGGGGGCGCCGGGGGGGACGCCATAGCCACCCTTGGGCACCGAGGAGGGGACACTGGGGGACACCTGCAGGCCAAGGGGGGAGAAAGGGGGGGCTGGCCGGGCCCAGGGGGCCCTGGGGGAGGCCGGGTAGGGCCGAGGGGCGGCAGGGCCCCCCCAGGCCTACTCACCCCCCGGGGCCGGGGACAACAGGGGGGCCCCGAGGCCCCTCAGGGCCCGGAGGTGACCGTCCCCCCCCCCCCCCC